AAGCAGCCAAAACCAAACCAAACCAAAAAAAGCCGCAATCACGATCTAAAAAAAAGCCACGATCTGTGGCGGCAATTCAGCGGGAGGCCCTTCACTCCCAGGCGGAGTGAGGGACTGTCTGCCCAATTGCCGCCGAATACCTGGACCTGCCGCCCCTCTCCGGAGCGGCCGCCCCAAGCACCTGCTTGAGAAGCTGGTGCCTGGAGCCGGCCCTGGTTCCTGGCTACCTGAACAACTGTCTCTTTCCCTTAGTGCCATCATGACAGTTGATATCATGTGAGATACTCTTGTTAACACCCTAGATTTAAGTGTATAGAAGGTGTAGGCAGACTATTTTCAGTGCAGGCACTTGGTATTGTATTTGCTTTCCCAACTGGTCCAACAGAGCCAAAATCTGTTGAACTTCAGAAAGCAGTGCTCAGTTTATATTTTCCATCGTTTGCTTGAAGCTATTAACTGTGAATGATGTATGCAAGCCCAGTTCATGGAGTGGCTTTGTGTTGGTATGAATCAATGTACTGATTAGTGTTTTAATATCATTCATGAACCTACGGACAAATGTGACAGGTATATTTTATACATTTAAAAATAAATTATTATTAGCAGATGATTCTAGTCAACAGATTACTCCCTAAAAAGTGTATTATAAAAACTATTAAGATTTTAAACGCTAAGATATTTTATATTCCACAATATAAGACAAGTTTGGTTTCAAGTTTCAAACAAAGAACAGGTCTTCAATTCAATCCATTAATCTTGAGGAATTTTTATTAATATGAGGAATTATTTTCAATAGTAGATTGCTTAGTTTCATGGCATAGTTTGTGATATACCAGTTCTCAGCCATATAGAGTTTTATAAACTTTGGAATCAGTGCGTTGGACTATACCTGCAAACAGTTTTGAACATAGCATACAGTTCACATAGCACTGATCTCATATGCTCATGTGGACTTAACCCACAGTGAATAGACTGCCACATTCTATGCCAGTTAACTACTATGAATATTCTTCAAAGATAGCCCCAAATGGACAGTACTGCAGTACTTCAGCCTAGTAACGACAAGCATGGATTAGTGTTGCAAGGTTTGCCTCATCCAGGAAAGAATACAGTC